ATTTTAATAACAACTAAAGGTGACATAGATACTTTATTATGGTATAGTTTTTAAATGTATGCCTGAGAAACACATAATATTGCCCCTTTAAGAGCATTGAGAAATTTTCCTTTTTTACCTCAGCTCTGTAACATTCAGAATTTTTATATTACAGTAATACATTACTGTATTTTTGTATCTACAGAGTTAGATTTCTTTGTTTATTTATAGAATTAGTCAAATTTTCATGTCACTGCCTTGTARCTATGTGACTTTTTAAATACCTTTCAAAACAAAAGGGTTCATTAACGTTGAACAGAAGCATTTGTCTTCAGTTACCTCTTGTGAAAAAGAACTCAAATGGCAGCGAGTAATGTGCGATAAAAGCAGTCTCTAAAAGTCTTATATTTTTTATCATACCATAGTGTTTTATGACAAATACTGATAGAAGCTATAGCTAATGCTGTAAAAGTCATTGTTGCTAAATGTAATTCACCTACAAGTTGTTTTAGGACAGGAACAGAGCTCATATGACAGTCATTCATTAAAATYCAAAACAATGTTTTCAAATATCTTGTATACTTCACAAGAATAAGCTGAATAAATTTGCTTTTTCAAAGCAACTTCCACACTGTTGTCAGTTTCTGCTTCTGAAAGAAAAATACTAACCAGTACAGAACTATAAAAACTTTTTTTAAGTTTACATAAATTAGGGGAGGGTCAGGATGTCAGTGATACAAACTGTTCAATGCATTGTTCTTTGACTGATGTCTTTTCACAACAAATGTCATTATTAGACTCTTTATAATCTAAGTTGAACTGATGTCCAAGCAAACAAGAAAATATGTAAAATATGTACACGGAAAAAGGAAAAAAAAAGGTTATTTGCAATGAAATGTTGAAGAAACTATTGTAATTTGAACACAAAAAACTGATTTGGTTGGTTTATAGCAAAGTTATTGGCAGTAAAGATCCATGTACCCCTAATTTTGATGGTCACAGTGGAAAAGGGGTGTGGCCAAAGCGGTCCCTGGGGTGCAGTGAGACCCAGCTTTTTTCTGTTAACATGCTGTTTTTGAAAGAGTGGACCCTGGGGTACATGAAAATACCTGAAAAGTTCAGTAATGGGGCATGCATGGTGACCCACCCTAACCTGCAAACTAAAAAGATGAAAAATGTCATATTTTGTTGGGGTAGTGACATTTTGACCCCTCACCCCCCTGATTGATTTGAATTGATTTGATTTGATTTATCGATTCAACAGGAAAAGATTACTAAAAATCAAGCCTGACTCAGCATAATTGCTGTTTTACAGCAGGTTCCTGTTCTGCAGCACATAAAACACTCAGAATTACAGCATCACAATCACATCATTATACGCCATAGACACAAAGACAAACAAGCATACCAAATTTCAGGAAGGCAGCATTTGCAAAATAGGACGTCTAAATATGAGCACAACAAAAAGTGTCCAGCAGATGGCAGACAAGATAACATCATGACATCATCAAGCACAGATTTGTTTAATGAAATTAATTTAAATCGAAGAGCTAATCAATATGAATCTGCTGATACCTTTTTTAAAAATTGGTTTGTTTATAGCAAAGTTATTGGCAGTTAAGCTTCCTGAATATATCTAACTTTGATGGTCAAAACGGAAAAGGGGTGTGGCCAATAAGCAGTCTCTGTGGAGCAGTGAGACCCAAATGTTTTTCTGTTAACATGCTTTTTTTTTTGAAAAAGTGGACCATAGGGTACATGAAAATACCAGAGAAGTTCAGTAGTGGGGTGTGCATGGTGACCTACCCTAACCCATAGACTAAAAAGAGGAAATTTGTCGTATTTTGTTGGGGTGGTGACATTTTGACCCCCTGATGACACTAGTTTGCATATTTGTTTAATGGAATGTCATTTAAATCCAATAGCTAATCAATATGAATCTGCTGWTACCTTGTTTTTAAATTTTGGTTGGTGTAAAGCAAAGTTATTGGCAGTTAAGCTTCCTGTCCCCCTAATTTTGATGGTCACAATGGAAAAGGGGTGTGGCCAAAGAGCGGTCCCTGGGGGGCAGTGAGACCCAACTTTTTTTCTGTTAACATGCAGTTTTTGAAAGAGTGGACCCTAGGGTACATGAAAATACCAGAGAAGTTCAGTAGTGGGGTATGCATGGTGACCCAGCCTAATCTACAGACTAAAAAGATGAAAATTTTCATCTTCTGTTGGGGTTGTGACCTTTTGACCCCACCTGATGACGTCATCAAGCAGAAATTTGCTAATGAAATGTCATCTACATCGAAGAGCTAACCAATACAAATCTTCTGATACCTTGTTTTTAAACTTTGGTTGGTTTATAGCAAAGTTATTGGCATTTAAGTTTTCTGTACCCCTAATTTTGATGGTCACAATAGAAAAGGGGTGTAGCCAAATAGGGGTCCCTGGGGGCAGTGAGACCCAACATTTTTTCTGTTAACATGTACTTTCTGAAAGACTGGACCCTAGGGTACATGAAAATACCAGAGAGGTTCATGTGCACAAAAAAAGGATAAGAAGTAAAACTTTTTAAACTTCTGCAGTGAAGAAGATATTTGTTCAAATATGCATTTTAAATGAGTAGGAAATTATATTTCATTATAATTATCTCATACTTCACAGTTTTTTCTGGGAGTCAGCATGAATATGTTTAGATGATTTACTCTGGAAATAAAACTTGCTTTATCCTGTTTGTAAAGAGCAACTATGCTGATTTTAGTCTTTGTGACTTTCTTTTCATTCCAAAGCACAGACCTATTTGATGTGTGAAGTAGTTCATGCCTCATGCAGCCGAGAAACAATTAAAAGGAGAGATGGAAAAAAACAACTCAAACTAATACAGTTCATTAATTGAACTCATTATAAATAGCTTATACAACTGAATTCCTTCCTGTGCTGTGGAAATATTTGAGATATTTCAGATGTTTGCAGGATAAATTGACTTGATTGTTGCTGTCAGACAGTTGAAACATCAAACAGGATTAAAATATTCAACTTCCTCTCAATCCCATTAGATACAAATAAAAAGATGTGTGTCACTGTAGGTTTTGCTTGAGTAGAAAAAAGAAGGTAGACTTTGGGCTCAAACATCAGTGTTTTAATTAGTTGCTCTTATTTGTGTGAATGATTTTTTTTTGGCATTTGTCTCGCACCACAATTGTTTTGCTATTTCAACAATTTCTATACTGCATCAAAACATTCATCTCCTTCAGACTATGACTTATGGTATTTCAACAATTTACACTTTTTGAGATGTTTAGCTTGAGGTGTTTAGCTTATTCTGACTTTTTCTCTCATTAAAATGAATAGAACTGTCTTTAACATCCTTAAAACCTTTCAAACTGTTCATAAATCTTTATTGTACTTTTCCATTTTTGTTCTGGTTTTGCTCTTTTAAACTTCTTTGTGCTATTTTCAACTTCCTTCAGCTTCTATTTAGATGAATTTAATTTTTTCTGCTTTTAAGCTGTCCTTTTAACATTTTCTGCTATTGTTTTGCTAATTTAAACCTTTGATGCTTTTTCATTTTGTTTCTGCTAATTTCAGCTGCTTTCTTTGTTTTAGCCACTTTTTAAAGCTTTTTTCAGCTAAATATTTAGTTTTTCAAATCTTTCAGCACTAACCGTTCACACTACATTTTGCAGTAAATTAAACAAGTAAATAAGTAAAATTCACTAAATTATTTAGCTTTCACTTGGTACCAAAACCTTGTTTTTTAACATCAAATGTCTTTATGGTCTACACAGAGGAGTTTTTATATTATGTGAGAAATCAGCCTACAAGCCTTGCTCTTGGTTTTTTTTTTTTTTTCCTTCTCTTTTTTGTGGTTTGGGATTTGTGGAATGGGAAGTGTGGCGCTCAGAGACAGGATGTGGGGAGTCACTGCTGGATCAACCCCTCACTCATTCCGACACACACACACACACACAGACACACGGAGCTGGAGTCCTGCTAAAGGTTTTATCTCATCTAAAGTGAAAGAAAGGCGTTGATCGCGTTTCACCTCCCYAAAGTCCCCACCTGTCGGTCTCTGGGGATTCCAAAAAACATCTTTAGGTGAGAGTAAATAAAGCACAGGTAAGTCTGCAAGCTTTGRTCTACAGCTTTGGATCACATCAACACTAATAAAACACTGTTGCTCCAATACTTATGTTTCTTTAGTCCTAGGATGTGTTATTCAGCATAGAAGTGCTCTTTTTCAGAGTTAAATCCTCAGAGGGAGTGTGTTTCTTTTGTTCTGTGCAGACATCTGGGGGGTGGTTGTTAATTACAGTGCTTTTGCCTGCCTCAACATGTCTCAACAGGCTACATGTTGCTTCTTTTCRATGCAGATTCAGATGATGCTCCACCTATGGACCCTCATGTCTGCTTCACTGCTGTACTTGTCAGTGGCRGAAAACCTGAACAACCATAAGGACGATGACAATGAAGTCCTGAAGCACACCATAAACCAGACGAGACATGTAGCCATTTAATGTTTTTTTTTCTTTAGATTACCATTGTTTTCTTCATACATAGAGATGATAAACTTTTGGTTTGCTGTTCTTCTGTGTTTTAGATGCTGGTGATGGAGAATGACATCAGAAATATTAGTGAAGCAACACCAAGCCACACACCCACCACATCACGTGTGTAACAACTTTTCTTTTGTTGTGTTTATGCTTTACACCTCATTTTCTCCTAACATTACATTCTTTTCCTTTGTTTTTTATACTTACAGCTTCATTGACTGCCACAGCTTCCTCAAGCACCTCTCTTGCTCCYTGTCCAGGAAATCAGGTGATGCAGACAAGTGGTGCAGGATGTAGCTGTCCATCTGGAACAGTGAAACATGGTGACAACTGCACCTGCCCTGTGGGGTTCGCTCTGAACGGAGCAGCCGAGTGTAAAGGTGAGGCAAATGTACGGGAGTGATGCAACAAGTTGGRTATAATTTTGCACTTAAAAACACACAAGATTGCTGTAAAATGTTTAAGTTGGAAACATGCTCTGGAAGCATGGCCAGTGTTGTTTAAAGTACCACAAAGTGATACTTGAGTAAAAGTACAAATATCTTACCAAAAAATTACTTTGGTAAAAGTTAAAGTCTCCTTTAGGAAAATTACTTGAGTTAAAGTCTTAAAGTATCTGATATGTTTTGTACTTAAGTATTAAAAGTAAAACTATTGATTTGAAATGAGCAGTTAGATTTTCCATAATGACATTTATTAGGATGTGACCTCCCCTAAAAATGCAGAAATGACTGGCGTATTAAAATGCGGTAGTTAAATTTAGGAMGCACTAGTCTAGCTGTTTCAGTTTATATACATATATAAAGGGAGCCCAAACCTTTTCCTCAAAATGAAAATCTGAGGGCTGCGGCCAAATGCAACAATATAATTCATGAAATACAAATACTTCTTAAATACAGTCCTTTTATTTTAATGATTATGTCCTGCTGGAGTGTGACATGATTTGTTTGTGTACAAACTAATACAGTATCAGAATTATTTATACACTCTTAAGCCTCCCTGGTAATGTCTATTCGGGGGTCCTGGTGAGGAGGGTCCATCGGATAGTCGAACCTCGGATTCAGGAAGAGCAGTGCGGTTTTCATTCTGGGCGTGGAACAC